TCATAGGCATGCCAATTATGCATATACATAAGATGATAAATAGGGGATTCTCCCTGACAGTTCACTTGAAGGATGCAGTTTGCCTTACTGCTCAAGCACCTGTTACAGAGTTTGTGATCCCTGAGGAAAAAAAAACATATAATCAATCCAATTATAATTAAAGATTTATTGATTAGCTGCTAGCAGGACAAAAAAAAATCTCTGAGTCAAATTTGAGATTGCTTTAAGAGAGGGATGAGGGAAGGGTTTTTAAAGGGGAAAACCACAAGAAGACCTTCAATATCAATGTAAGCAAGAAAAACTGGTCTGTTTTGCCAAGTTAAGTGACGCAAAACAATCTTCAGGTATCTAGGTAAGCAAGTTACAAAAGCCAAAAAACCAGTCATATAACAAGTAGATGGTCACGGCTGTACATTTTTGGGTGGAGGTCATTGAATCAGGGTTACTGGGAACTTACTTTTCAGGGACTGGAGTCAGAGACAAATGTCTAAAGGGTACCAAGATGGATGCTGTCTTAGGGTTTCTATTGCTGTGAAGAGACTCCATGACCACAGCAACTTTTTTTTTTCACACAGTAACTCTTATTAAGATAAATGTTTAATTGGAGTAGCTTGCTTACAGTTTCAGAGGTTCAGTCCATTATCATCACGGCAGGGATCATGGCGCTGTGCAGACAGACATGGTGCTAGAGAAGTAGCTAAAAGTCCTGCATCTCCAAGGCAACAAGAAGTTGACTGAAACATTGGGCAGTATCCTGAGCATAGGAATCCTCAGAGCCCGCCCCCACAGTGACACACTTCCTCCAACAAAGCCACACTCCCTTAATAGTCCCACTCTCTATGAGATTATGGGGGCCAATTACATTCAAACGACCACAGATGCCTAGCATAAAATGAATTTCTTTAGCTATCACACACGCAAAACCAGTTTAGGCTGGACTGGCCTATTTTTTTCCTATCCAGATACATTAAGAACACACTTGATTGTTGTGAGGCATGGAGAAACGTATACTAATGTCAGTGAGGGGTATAGCCTGATAGAGGTGGGGGTCTGAGGAATTCTACAGTTGTTAGGTGTATTGTTTAGAAGAGTGTGTGTGTGTGTGTGTGTGTGTGTGTGTGTGTGTGTGTGTGTGTGTGTGTATGTGTGTGTGTATGTATGTGTGTATGTGGAATTTGATGTGTGGACCAGACCGGCCTTCAACTCTGCCCCTGCTTCTGCCTCCTGAGTGCGGAGATTAAACATATACATCATCACTTCCCAGTCAAATTTCCTTGCTGTTTTTGAAACAAGGTCTCATATAGCCAGGCTGATCTTTAACTTACTTTATTGCTGAAGCTGGCCTTGAACTCCTGATCTTCTTGCCTCTAGGATTACAGGTATATGCCAGCATGCCTGGTATATTCTTCCTTTTTGATCAAGATCTTTTCCCAAAAGCATCACTAATCCTGTTACTTATAGTTAAGTGGGTTTTTTGGTGTTTGTCTTTTTGTTCTGTTTGTTTTTAGCTCTTCCCATAATGCATCTGACAGGGCATTATGTGTAGTTCTGTGTCTACACATAATGTAGATAGGGTCTCACTGTAGTCCTGGCTGTTCTGGAACTCACTGTATAGAGCAGGCTGGTTTTGAACTCAGGGACACGTGTGTCTATGCCTTCTGAGTGCTGGGATTAAAGGTGTACACCATCAGCGTCAAGACCTTTTTGTTTTTCCTGAGACAGGGTTTCTCTGTGTAGCTTTGGTGCCTTTCCTGGAACTCACTCTGTAGCCCAGGCTGGCCTTGAACTCACAGAGATCCACCTGGCTATGCCTCCTGAGTGCTGGGACTAAAGGCGTGCGTGCGTGCGTGCGTGCGTGCGTGTGTGTGTGTGTGTGTGTGTGTGTGTGTGTGTGTGTGCGCACGTGCCTGCGTGCTGCGTGCGTCTGTCACCACCACCTGGCTCAAGACCCCTCCCCCCTTTTTTTTTATTCTGCAGAGGGCGCCAGATCTTGTTACAGATGGTTGTGAGCCACCCTGTGGTTGCTGGGGGTTGAACTCAGGACCTCTGGAAGAGCAGCCAGTGCTCTTAACTGCTGAGCCATCTCTCCAGGCCCATCAAGACCCTTTTTAAGAGAATATTTTTTTAATGTGTATGGGTGTTTTTATATGCATGGATACTTGTGCATCTCTAATGTGCCTTGTGCCTACAGAAGCCAGAAAGAGCATCAGATCCCCTAGAACTGGAGACTGGAGTCACAGACAAGGTGTGAGCAGTCATATGGGTGCTGGGGATCACACCCAGGTCCATTTGGAAGTTTTTAATCACTGAGCCATGTCTCTAGCCCATGATGATTCTCTTAGCCATTTCTGAGCAATCGGTTTAGAAGAAGTGGCCCTCGGTCTATGGCTGCCTAAAGCTTATTATTAAGTTCAGTTTCACTGCTCCATAGGTGCTGACATCATTTCAAAGCACTGGGCCAACATTATTCAGTTTCTATAGAAATTTGGCAGGTAGCAGGTACCCATCTTAAAAAGGAATAGCACAGGGACACTGTAACAGCATATTGACAATCCTGGTTTGTAGAATGGTTTCCAGTTACGAACTCAAGACTGAAGTTAACCAACTAAACCAACCAGATGACAACAGGGGGTAAGACTTGTAAACAAATATTAGAAGAAACTAGTTGAATTAAAATAACTTGAGAATGATGAAGAGCTATAATTGAATAAAAGGTATACTATAGCTTTCTTTTGAAATACAATTTTTCTGTTTATAATCACCTCAAGTGTCTACCTTGGCTTTGGTAGCTTTCATAGTTTTTTGAGGCAAGGTCTTATTGTGTAGCTCTGGCTGGCCTGGAACTCACTAGGTAGAGCAGGCTGGCCTCAAACTCAGAGATCTGCCTGCCTCAGCCTCTGGAGTGCTGGGATTAAAGGTGTGCTCCACCACGCTCAGTGCCTTTACAACACTTAAGTATCCATTCACTCGTTGAAATATTTGGTAATCATCTAAGGCATGCCAAGCAGTTTTTTTCGGGAACAAAAAGTCCCACTCTTGTGGTTTTTGTCATGGAGGAAGATAATCAATTGATTGTAGGTCAGACAAAGAGCTATGGAGAAACATAACAGAGTAAGGGAAATAGGAAGGGCCAGAGTAGACTGTGAAGTCAAGCATGGCTCCTCATACTGTAATCCTACCACTCACAGGCTGAGACAGGAGCTTCGGGCCAGTCTGGGCTACTGCATGTAAGACATGGTCTCAGAATACTACGTAATGGAAGAGCAGAAGGGGAATATAGTAGTTATTTTTGTGATCCTGGCAGAGTGTCTAAGAAGTAGTCTAACGGAAGGGTTTATTTTGGGTCGTAGCGTAAGAACATTTGGTTGGTCCATCATGGTGAGGGAAGCATGGCCACTGTGTTGGCCTTTGGCCACGGTCGTGAGAGCGTCTGCACAGGGCTTCCTCCTTTCTGGGTAGACGGAGAAGAGGAAAGGCTTTCCATCTCATCACCAGCTCCACAGCTTCGGACACAGGACCTGTTCTCTTATAGATCCCCAAAGCTCAGCATCTTGACATGCAGTAGGCAAACTCCAGCACCCTCTGCACAGGACTAGATTTCCTTTCCTACCACCTGTCCCCAGACGCTTCCAGTTCTCAGACATTCAGCTCCTGTTAGTAAGACTCTTTTCTGAGATGGTCTAACTGTAGTCCAGGCTGGCTTCAGGACTTTGTCTTTGAAGACAGGGTTTCAGGTAGCCAGGCTGGCCTTAAATTCCCTGTCACCAAGGATGAAGATCATTCTGCCTCCACATGCCAAGTGCTGGGATTATGGGTGTACACCATCGTTGCCAGTTTATATGGTACTGGGAATCACAGTTTCATGCATGCTAGGCAAACAATTCTACCAGGCTCCATTCCCAGTATATAGTATTATCCCAAGACACTTGTTCATTCTTTGAGATTATGCAACCGGATGCAGGCCCTTTGTGAGGACCATGAATGACGTCCTCACCCTGATGGTGGCACTGCAGAACAGGCTAGTTTCCAGGTCCTTGTCCTACTGTGACATGGCAGCTGGGACTTGGGGTTATGGGGGCACTTGTTCATTAAGGAGTGCTTTCTACGATATGGGAGGGGTTTGTTGTTGCTTTTCGAGACAGGGTTTCTCTGTAACAGCTCTAGCTGTTCTGGAACTCACTCTGTAGACCAGGCTGGCCTTGAACACAGAGACCCACCTGCCTCTGCCTCAGTGCTGCGACTAAAGGCCTGCACCACGTGCTTGGCTACTATGGGAGTTTTGAAATAATGCCACTGGGGTCCATGCTCTGAGTGTGTGGGCTGCGTGTGTTATGTAAAGGGCTTACATCTGGTACAAAGTAACAGGGGAGGAATACAAATTACCACCAGCACCTGGGGATGGGGAGACATTTGCTGGTCAGCATCTACCCAGGAGAGCCTGACATTTTGCTCAAATTGAAAATATGGCTACAGTTGGGATGCACTTACCTTGCATTGGTAAGTCATAAGGACAGGGCTACAGCTTTTCTTTGCTTAGAGAAGTAGAAAATAAAGGTGTTTTACAATCAACAGACCTCAGGATTAATGAAAGTTAATGTATAAATATTGAGGTGGGAAGAGATGAATTGTGTGGTGCCCCCTAACGGAAACATAGCACCCATTCCACAGATAATGCTTGCTTTCTTAAGCTTCTCTATGTGCACATGTCTATGTGAGCACATGCTCCGTGTATGTGTGTGTGTGTGTCCCTTGAAGGGGGCTTGAGTTGCAGGCAGTCATGCTTTCTATGGCCCAGACACGGTGCCCTCCAGGAACACATCAGCCTGCCCCACCCCAAGTCTGCCTCCATGGTGCTTCCCATCACTCTTTCTTTCAGAACTTCAACATGGACACACAGTTAAAAATAACTCGCCACTATTACCCAAATCTAGAGCCAAATATTACTGCAAAACAATAACCAATTTTGGCAGGGTCATCAGGGCAAGAAGGGGAGTTTATAGTTCTTCATAAATATCTTTATTTACAGGTTTTAAGTGAATATGGGAAATCTCAGATCTTGGTAAAAATCACCTCCAGACGCAGACAAAGCCCAGAGGGCAGAGCAAGCAGCCCAGGTCTGTTTTCCCACATTCCTCCAAAGTGGGGACAATGACACTGAGTCCCAGGCCCTCCAGTGGGAGTCCTTGGGAACACGCATGCGGTTATTCTACAAATATGGGCCACTGGTGAGACACAGGGTATCTGAGAACTCCTAAAGGAGACTTTGTTTCTTTAAACAGGGACACTGTAGCCAAACAGACCTTGAACTTCTGAGGATCACAGGTATGTGCCATCATGGCCAGCATAATTTATGCTGGGGATCTAACCATGGCTCCATCCATGCATGCTAGATGGACACTGTTGAGTCACATCCCCAGCCCTGTCCTAGGTTAATCTTGGAAACTAGTTTGAGTTGAGTTGCCCAGACAGAAGTGGAGCAACTCAACTTTTCAAAATTGCAGCATTCCTAACTGGCCAAACCTCTTTGATGGTGAAAAGCTCATTGCTGCCTAAACCGCTGAGATGGTGATGGAGCTGCCAGGATCTCAGGGGACTCTGCTGCTGCTGGCAGATACTCACGTTTCACTTTTCCCTTCACCTGATGCTGGAGCCTTCCCTGCAGCAAGAATCTCAGGGCACTTAGCACCTGCAGTCTGAGGGAGACAACCTTCCCCGGGAGGCCTAGCAGATGGCAGGCACCACACATCTGACCCAAGAAGCGCCCCGTAGGAGGCAGCTTGGATTCAAGGGGACCCAGAAGCCCTGTGCGGCCTCATTAGGGAACTCTCGGGGTGCTACCCTGCATTCTCCATCTTTACAGAGAGACAACTATGCAGAGACCCCACCAGACCTTCCTGACCCTGGCCACTGAGCTGCTGACCTCTGCCATATGCCTTAGTGTCCTTGGATCTGGGTGAGCCAGAAGGGTCACTGGAAAACTTCCCCCTAGCTGCGCCTTTAAGGAGACCTGCCGGTGACTCATGGCTTGGTGAGCTCTTCTCACAAGTCACGTAAGTAGAGGCGGCTGAGCGGGCATGACTGCCCTGGTGGCGCACCAGCCAGGAGCGGCAGGTGAAGCTCTTGCCACACTGGCCACAGGTGAGGCGCTTCTCCTGAGAGTGGCCGCGCAGATGCCGCAGGAAACTGGGCTTGTGCGTGAAGCAGGAGCCACACTGGGCGCACTGGAAGGCATGCTCCCCGGAGTGCACACTCTGGTGTACTGTCAAGTTGGCCAAGCGCGTGAAACGCTTGTCACACTGGGTGCACGGAAATGGTTTCTCACCCGTGTGTGTGCGCCGATGTTCCACCAGTGTGGACAGGCGCCCAAAACGACGGCCACACTGTGCACACGGGAAGGGCCGCTCTCCGGTGTGGGTGCGCTGGTGCTCCAGCAGCGTGGACAGGCGGCCAAACCGCTTCTCACACTCGGCACATTTGTAAGGCTTCTCCCCGGTGTGCGTGCGGTAGTGCGTGGTGAGTGTGGACTGGTGGACGAAGCTCTTGCCACACTGGATGCAGGTGTAGGCACGCTGGGCTGTGGGTGCACGCCGGTTCCTGGTGAGAGGGACCTGCTGTGTGGCACTCTGGGGGCACTGGAGACTGGCAAAGGACTGAGCTCCATGGTGTGGGTGATCATGCTGAGTGCCGGGTTCTTTGACAATGAAGTTCTGGCCATTCTCAGTGCCCTCAGGAGCTGGCACAGGCTGACTCTGAGAGCCTCGGGGGAGGGAGGCAACCTCTCTCTCTCTGGAAATAGGGAGCAGATGCCCACAGGTTCCCCTCTCCAAGTCCTCCTTGCTGGCTCTTCCATCGGTTGCCCAGGCTGACTCTGGTACCACGGACTCTCCTTCCAGGGTCCTTTTCTTGTTAGCTAGCCAGGTTTCTGGTGGGAGGAGACACAGCAATGAGTCATCTCTGCCACAGGCTCTGGAGCGAGGCCACCTGATCCCTCCTGTTCTTTGGTATGGAAGGCCTGAGGCTCACATGAGCCTGTCACTCTGGCCCTAACCTACCCATTTCCCACTTGCTTTCTGCCAGAGGCCTTAGTCTGTGTCATCTACATGTCATCCAAACGCCCTTGCAGCTAAGCTGTGGCTTCAAGAGCCTCCTAAGACCAGCTTCCTGACAGCCCGATGGGTGCCACCAAGACCATGAATGAGATAGCCCACCCACCACACCCTGATTACAGAAGGCCTTCACATGTAAATACAGTCTAAGTGTACGTGCCTTCTGAGGATACTGTCCACAATTTTTATCATTCTCAAAGGGCTCTCTGGCTCAGACATGGTTTATTCCTCTTAAGTTGTACTGTTAATTTGTGGTTGTCTTTCTCTTAACTGAAAAGTCCTGTGGAGATGGGGCTGTGTCCTCTGCATCAGTGTTACAGTGCCCACCTAGCACAATGCCAGCATAGTTCCTAAGCCAGCCAGCATACTGTGGGACAAGTGTCCACAGCAGACAGCAGAGACAACAGGGTAACACAGGATACTTGCTCGCTGCCACTTCCAGACATGAATACAGAAGGCCCCCCGGAGGTGTTCAGAGGCCCAGATAAACAGCCTGCCCCTGGCCTCACCTGAGCACAGATATGCACTGCTTGTCTCCCGCAGGCTCTTCTCATATGCCTCTTCTTCTTGCTTGATCCAGGGAAGAACAATTGGGACAGATTCCAGCTGGCCTGTTTCTAAGGAAAAGAGAGGAAGCCCCGAGGGCATCAGATGTCATGGCCTCTTTCCTGTGATAGTCTCTGTCCAGGACCACTGACCACAGTGCGCTCCCAACAGAACCACAGAGCCCAGCAAAGCCAGAACAAATAAGTACTGGGATTTCTGATAAGACAGGAGAGCAGGAGTACATGACTTCTGAATGACCAGTGGTAGCCTATGACCAAGGGCCGGCAGCCTTTCATCTTTACCACCCCGCTTTCTGAAGGAAAGAACAGCTGGAGTTTGGCTGGGCCTTCAGATCCCTCCAGAATACAGACCATGCCTCTAGAACACTTCTTCAAGCAAATAACCAACAGGATGTAATAAGGCTCAGACTTTTCTAGCTACATGACCTCTGATAATTTACCTAGCCTCTCTGTGGCTTAGTTTTTTCATCTACATATATGAAAAGACACAAACCTACAAGAGATTTAAGTGGATTAATATTTATCGTGCATAAGTACTAACTTTGCTTGTTAAATTGGAAATAAATGTATTGTACTAAGAGAAAAGGCAATCCTTTCCCTTCTTGTTTTTTGTTGTTTTTCAAAACAGGGTTTCTCTTACATGGCTCTGGCTGTCCTAGAACTTGCTTTGTAGACCAGGTTGGGACTAAAAGTGTCACTGCACCGGGCTCCTACTAGCTTTTTTTTTTTTTTTTTAAAAGATTCATTAGATATACAGTGTTCTGCCTGCATGACAGAAGAGGGGACCAGATCTCATTATAGATGGCTGTGAGCCACCATGTGGGTGCTAGGAATTGAACTCAGGACCTCTGGAAGAGCAGCCAGTGAGTGCTCTTAACCTTTGAGCCATGTCTCTAGCTCTAGCTTTTTTTGAGACAAGGTCTCACTGTGTAGATCAGGCTGGCCTCGAACTCACAAAGTTCTACCTGTTTCTGCCTCCTGAATGCTGGCATCAAGGTGTGCACCACCACCACCAGCTCTACTTGCTTCCTAATGGTTACCTTGAATAGCAGTGGCAAAGCTACTCCCTAGGAAAGGCAGAGCGACAGGTTGAAAGACACTTGGGTCTGGGACATCTGAGCTGCCAAACAAGCCTGTCAGGAGAGGGAAACCATCTTGTCTAAGCTGTTACTGCAGTATTTGGGTATGGGTTTTATCAGTCTCTGTCTGGCAGCCTATGTAACACAGTACCCTAGGGTAGGTGTCCTTCAAGGTCCAAGGGACCTCACTACTCTGTGCCCATCTCTAAGCTCCACATCCATACCACAGCACGTCATCCATGCTCCCTCCTGATAAATAAATGCTGCCCAGCCACGTGTAGCCACCTCCCCTACACAGGCTGCTTCCATAATTTTAACTGGTGGCACTTCGAACCTTGGGAAAAGAAGTCAACAGTAATGTGTCACCTGGGTAAAGCACTTGCTACCAAGTCTGATGACCTGAGTTGAATTCCTAGAACCCATGTGACAGGAGAAAAGTGATTCCCACAAGTTATCTTCTGACTCACACACGCACACTGTGAGGTCTCTGAGTCCGAACACCAATAATAAGAATAGCAGCTATGCTGGGAGGGGCTTAGGATGGGGGAGGTAGCCAACAAAGAGGCTTTAAAAATATATGGTTATGATGCATGTATGTATGTGTGCACATGAGTGTGGTGTGCTCAAGGACAGCCGGCATCAGATCCCTGGAGCTGGCGCTACCAGCAGCTCACAGACACCTGACACGGGTGTCTGACATCGGTCCTGGAGTCAGACTCAGAACCCTTAGATGGCAGAATGCAGTCTTAGCTTCAGAGTCGTCTCTCCAGCCCATGAGAAGCCTTTTAAATTGGGCCTGGTGGTGCACAACTGTAATCCCAGGTCTTAGAAGGCAGTGGTAGAATGGCAGCTACAAGTTTAAGGCCAGCCTGGCCTATATAGTAAGTTCTGGGCCAGCCAGGGCTACATAGCAAGACCGTATGCAGACAAAGAAATGCTTGACCTCTGCATTGCTGAGCAAAAACATATTCATGTAAGAATGCACTTGCATAATCATCAAAAGGCTAGAGGCTCATCAGCCCCTGCCCGGGGGACCCCTATAACCAGCTTCTCAAACTCTGAGGTATCCAAATCACCTGAACATGTTGAAACTGTAGGCCTATGCTTACTGATTGAAGATTCTCAGAAATTTGGCAGGAAGAGCTGCCTTTGGAAACTTGTAGAAAATAAAGCAAGTTTACACCAAATGACAGTGAAGTCACTGCTAAGGCAGCAAAGACTCTCCAAGGTGAGGCAGTCCTAAGTCCCCTAAGGATACCACATTCCAGAGCATGCCAAAGCTCCAGAGGAAAGTTCTGGGCACCTCCAGGGACATACTAGCCAAGCCCAGCCTGTTCTGCATCTGCTTTCTGACCACACCTACCATGGGGCCCCAGGTCCCCTCATTGTACCACAGGAAGGGGAAGCAGGGTCCTCAGTGAACCAACAAGTGCCATCACCCACTAAGTAAGCTCTCCTGGCCCTTTATATCTCCCAAGCACTATTGGCTGATTTCTGTATCCTGGCACTCTACCTTCTCTGTGGTATCCCTACCCCTGCAGGGACCCCAAAACGCTTTTAACCTCAGTGCAACTTGCCTACCACTCAGTGTGCTCTTCCTTAATTTACCTACCCAAAGAGACCCCTTCAAATGAGGGCTTTTCTCCTCAAATATAGTAAAAATCTAAAAACAAGGAACAGGGCTTGAGAGAGAGTTCTTACAGAGAACCTGGGTTTGGTTCCCAGCTCCTACCACTGACTCTTAACTCTTCCTAGGGGATCTAACATCACATGTGTGCAGTGTCCCCACAGGTACATACACACACACACACACACACACACACACACACACACACACACACACACACACACACACACCCCAACATGGAATGGTACCTTGGCTAATCTTTGTGTTCTCAGCAAACAGGGAATCTATTTCCTTTCAGTGGAGTGCTCCCTTCTTCTCCTATTGCTTCTTCCATTTGAACTAAGGGTTTCTTTACCTTTCAAAAAGCCAGGGTGGGTCACACCCATAATCCCAATACTCCAAAGGCTGAGGTAGGAAGCACAAGTTCAAGGCTAGCCAGAGCTACCCAGTAACTTCCAGGCCAGCCTAAGTTATAGTAAGAGCCTGCCAGATACAGGGGAAAAGGCTGGAGCTATAAGTCAGTGGGAGGGGGCTTCCCTTAGCATTCACAAGGTTCCATCTTTTTGCAAGCTCCAGGATGATGCAAGAGCTGGGGATGTGGCTATGAAATTCTAGATCAAGTCTCACATAAAACTCCTGCACTCTTGGCTGGAGGGCCTATTGTTTACTGCTAGCCCTCAATTCTTAAATCTTAGATACCTTTACAAATCATGCCCATGGGGCTGGAGAGATGGCTTAGTGGTTAAGAGCACTGAATGCTCTTCCAGAGGTTCCAAAGGACCCAGGTTCAATTACATGGCAGCTTACAACCATCTATAACTCCAGTTCCGGGGATCCAATGCCCTCTTCTGGCCTCTGCAGACACCAGACATGCATATGATACACAGACACACATGCAGGCCAAACCACCCATACACACAAAATAGAAGCATGTCTACACTTAGTTCTAAAGATGGGAATTAAGGATACCTTCTACCAGCTTCTAAGACAGAGGCCCAGTCTACTCTGGCTCTCAGATCCAAGAGTCTCAACACACTGAGGAAAAGGATGAAAGCACATCTGGAAGCCCTTGGGGATGTCTCTTACCCAGAGAGCCCAGCACCTCACGGCTCTCCTTGGCTCCGTGCGTGCAGAGCTCCTTCTGCCAATCTTCCGGACTGCCTTCCTGTTGCTCGGGGAAACACCCAGCTACCTCTTCAGCAGTCACAGAAACCTGGAGGAATACAAATCCCCACAGCCCTTCAGAGAACAGCCAGAAAGAGCTCTGAAATTGTGGGCACCACTGGCCAAATGCTAGCTTCTGCCCACCACATGTCCATAGAAAGTGTCCCCCCAGCTCCTCCCGTGCACACCTGCATCTTCTGTTGGAAGCCGAACGGAGATGCTTTCTGTAGATTTCCTCGACTTGAACCAGTCCTCACTCTCAAAGTCATTCTGGGGCCTTCCCTTCTAGCCCATCTCCATTCCTTTGTGTCAGTTGCCCACACTCAAACACTTTCTACCAAAGACCCCCAGTGGCCGAACCAGGCTGAGGCTCAAATCGGTGCCTCATTCAGCCCTCATCAGAGAAGCTTCTTCCAATAGGAGGTGGGAATTAACAGAGACCCACAACTGGGCAATGTGCAGAGTGAGAAATTTGGAGCACTCAGTCCTAAATGGAATGTCTTCATCCCCCCTCCCCTCAAGGCTCAGGGATCTATGCGGAAAAGGAGGAAGAAGCCAGAGGTGATGGACGACTCCTTGGAAAAAGTGTCCTCCAGACCCCGATGCACGTGGGAGCTCAGGGAGACCGGCGTGTACACATGACCTGCACGGGTTCAAGGCGGATGCAAGTCCCACCCTAACTAAGGAGCTATCCGACATTGACAGCCGATGGCAAAGGAAAAAGCAGTTTTCCAGTGGAGTCTCACTGGGTATATTAACCACACTTCACGGCAGGCCCCATGTCCAAGAGGCGTCGGTCAACATAAAACAAACTCAATGGTATTTTTTACAGACTTTAATTTTAATTAAAATTTTAATTTTAATTTTGCTTTGTTTGGACATGTTTTTGTCTTATTAGTAGTCTTTTGCTTGTATATTTTGGTATCTGCTTTTTTATTTTTGTGGGTTTTTTCTTTTTCTTTTTTTTTTTTTTGTCTTTTTTTGTTTTGTTTTGTTTTTTTGGTTTTTTTCGAGACAGGGTTTCTCTGTGTAGCTTTGCGCCTTTCCTGGAACTCGCTTTGGAGACCAGGCTGGCCTCGAACTCACAGAGATCCGCCTGCCTCTGCCTCCCGAGTGCTGGGATTAAAGGCGTGTGCCACCACCGCCCGGCCTTTTTTTTTGTCTTTTGAGACAGGGTTTCCCTGTGTAGCTTTGCGCCTTTCCTGGATCTCGCTCTGTAGTCCAGGCTGGCCTCGAACTCACAGAGACCAGCCTGCCTCTGCCTCCCGAGTGCTGGGATTAAAGGCGTGTGCCACCACCGCCCAGCTGTTTTTGTTGTTGTTGTTACTCTTTAAAGAGAGACAAAAAGAATGTAAAGTTGGGTGGGTGGGGAGATAGAAGGATCTGGGAGGAACTGGGGGAGGGGAAAACATGATCAAAATATATTGTATGAAAACATTTTTTTCTTTTTTTTTGGTTTTTCGAGACAGTGTTTCTCTGTGTAGCTTTTGGAGCCTGTCCTGGAACTCACTTTGTAGACCAGGCTGGCCTCTAACAGAAATTCACCTGCCTTTGCCTCCCAAGTGCTGGAATTAAAGGCATGCACCACCACCCAGCAACAACTTTTTTCTTTTTCTTTTTTGGATTTTCAAGACAAGGTTTCTCTATGTAGCCCTGGCTGTCCTGGCACCCTGTAGTCCTGGCCTCAAACTCAGAGATCCACCTGCCCCTGCCTCCCAAGTGTTGGGATTAAAGGTGTATACCACCAATTGAAAACAATTCTTTTCAATTAAAAAAAAAAGGGGGGGGTCATTCTGCAATAAGACAGCTGTCGCTGCCCAAACGTATCCTTCCCAACAATTCACTCTACTGCCTAAGCAGACTCCTTTCCAATGTCACATTCTCTTTCTGACATTTTTAACAGCTCCTTAAGGTCCACTGTAACTAGATTGGAGGCCTCCCTTCACACTCTATGAATACCTTGGGGGCTTCATCCTTGCTGCTAGGGGGCAGCCTCAGGACCCAGGAGTTCCGGTTTTGCATCTGACTTTCTAGGTTCTCCAGCCGACGCTGCAGCAGCCCATACTCCTGCAGCAGGGTCCCCAGCACGGCCCACTTGCCCTCCAGCTGGCTGCTGAGCTCCATGGCTGTCTTCTCAAAGTCAGCCAGCCTCTTCTCAGCTGACCCTGTTCGTATTTCCAGGCTTTGAAGATGGACAGCCTGGGATTCTGTTTTCTTCTCCACTGCCTGAACAGCGGCCAGGATGGCTAAAAGGGAGATCTCTGCGGACTGGATCTGGACCTGTTGTTGGAGGTCAGTTCCCACATGCCAGTCCTGTGACCAGAGACAAGGAGATGGGTTAGCTTCCAGAAGGCCAAGAACTGTTCTCAAATATAGTAAGATCAGGATCCTCTGGAATGGGTTCAGATTCCTCACGGGCTAGATCCCAGTCAAAAACAAGACACTGGACCCCACAGAGCCTTCATGGGAGGAATAATTCCCATTGCAATGGAAAGCAAAATAGTGAGCATTCAAATGTATACTGGATTTACTCTTGCTCTGTTGAGGAATATTTGTTTATGCAAAGATGTGTTGTATTTGTTTATGCTGCAGAATATTTAACTATGTAAAGATGGGTTGCTGTTTTACCTTGCCTGCCTAAAGCACCTAATTGGTCTATGGCCAATAGCAAGGGAGGAGGTATAGGTGGTACTTCCAGGCAAGGAATGAGAGGAGGAATTTTGGCTCAGGGAGAAGGAGAGAGACACAGAGACACCAGGGGCCGGACAGACAGACATGGAGGAAGCAGGAAAGTAGGACATACAAAATGAAAAAAAGGTAAAAAGCCTCAAATCAAAACACAGATGAATAGAAACAGGTTAAATTAAGTTAAAAGAGCTAGTGGGACAAGTCTAAGCTAAGGCCGAGCTTTCATAATAAGTCTCCATGTTTTTATTTGGGAGCTGGTTGGTGGCCAAAGAAAACTCCAACCACACTGCTTTTCTTATATTATTAGTTCTATCAGTTACTTAACCACCTTTTCTTCCTCTGGGAACACAGTCCAACAGGAAGGTCACAAAACCTGCATACCCAATGGCAATCTCACCCCCCCTCCTCCCACCCACAGGGGTTCTCAGTATATCCTTGGCTGTCCTGGAACTCACTCAGTAGACCAGGTTGGCCTCAAACTCAGAGATCTGCCTCTGCCTCCCAAGTGCTGGGATTAAAGGCGTGCGCCACCATGCCCAGCACCCTTACCTCCTCTTACAGCAGCTTCCCCTAAAGTGAGGCCCTGCTGTTCTGACCTCAGTGATCTCTAAGGGCCACATGAATCATCTAGTGCTGTGTGAACTCCCAACCTGCCCGAGACACTAGGTGTCTTAGTTAGGGTTTCTATTGCTGTGATGAAACACCATGACAAAAAACAACTTGATGAGGAAATGGTTTATTTGGCTTACACTTTCACATCACTGTATATCACTGAAGGAAGTCAGGGCAGGAGCTTGGAGGCAGGAGTTAAAGCAGAGGCTGTCGGGGAGTGCTGTTTAGTGGCTTGTTCCTCATGGTTTTCTCAGCCTGCTTCCTTATAGAACTTAGGACCACCAGCCCAGATGTGGCGCACCCACAACGGACTGGGCCTTACCACACCAGACACTAGTTAAGAAAATGCCCTACAAGCTTGCCTACAGTCTGACATTATGGAGGCATTTTCTCAGTTGAGGTTCCCTCCTCTCAGTGGACTCCAGCTTGTGTTAGGTTGGACACGGGGCACTTTACTAACCAGCCCCTGAAGCTTCCTTCTCCACTGGAAGGCTAGATCTTAGCTGCCAATAAGCATGAGTCAGAGAAAGCTGAAAGCCAGCATCCTTGTCAAAAGGAAATATCCCGAAGAGCACCCTGTCTAAAGGAGGTGGACAATGTTATCATGCATAACTGCAAATAATAAGACAAAGAGCAAGGAGCTCCTCTGTGGGCGGCAGATAAATCCTGCACCAGGCCTCTCCCAGAACTAAACTCTGTGCAGTTTGAGGCAAAGATACACTATTCTCCTAAGGCTGTTTTCTCAATTACAAGGTCATCATGACTTTCCTATCTCTTATGCAGTGAAGGATGAAATAAACTACAGGTATAAAAAAAGCACTCAAGGTGTACCACATTACCTTATATTGTATTATTACTAATAAACACGAAGGTTACAGACCACCGACCAGAATGTTTTATGTATTATAAACCAAAGACTGCAATTAATCAAATTTTGTGACACTAAACTTTCCCTTAGACATCTTCCATAAAAAGTGCCCCCCACAATTAGATACTACTTGTCACCGACACTGATCCTTTCCTCCCTTCATTCACAGCACCATGACACCATCCTGAGGTCTGACCACTGACCCATACAACAAAATATGGCTGGGAGGAGACAAACAGTCTTCACAGGTAAGGGTCAAATGTCTTCGTTTCTCTGTGACCCTCGCCACAAATCTGGCACCAGAACTGTCTCTGAAGTCACTGCAAAGCTCTTGCTAGCAGATGACCTCTACCTTCAGAGACAGTATCTTAGCAGTTCATTCACACGAGTTGGAAGGCGATAGGTCATGCCTGAGCCTAAAACACGCCTATCAGCTGCAGTAGCAAAGTCATTCTGTGGATTATTGGGAAATAGCAGGCGAGGATGTATGCATCCACCCTGAATGGAATCCAATTCAGGCCTGAAAGGCCAGGGAACCCCCGTAGGCAGGGACAAGATTACGGTTCCCAGGACCAAGAGGATTAGCTGGAGGGGCCTTAGCTCGGGAATAGATCTGAGATAGCTAATAATTTCGAGGGGAAGGCAGAGAGATCCCAGAAAAGGAGTCATATGGAGTAAAAACGTCCACAGCCGGTGCATCAGGCCCAGGCATTTCCTGGTTAAGCTCAATTGGCTTACATTATGAATGCTCAAAACCTGGACAAGAGACAAGGACTTTATCATGTGGACATAGGCGTCCTAGTCTTCCTCCCTGAGGCCCTAGCTGAGCTCTACCCAATTTCAGGAGGTGTAAGATGTCCTCCTGGCTAATTCAGGAACCTTTTCGCATCCCCCACATGGTCGGTGCGGGCCGCCCTTACCGGAGCAGCAGCCGCCTCGGTCATGGCTGCACGCGATGCTGCCTCGTCCCAGAGTCGCCGCTGCGATCGTCCCTACAGACGGCCCTTCCTGGCCCACACGCACCAGGCTCGGATGGCCGTCTGGGACGAATAGCCTGGGGACGGAGTCTGCAGAGCCGCGAGGCCGCGGCGTCTCAGCTGCTCCTCCACGGCTCCCGCGGCTGGATCGCAGGCTCCACCCGCTGCAAGCAGGCTCCCTATTGGCTAGCCCTGGAGGTTCCGCCTCCTGGCTGCACAGAGCCCGGGCCTCATTGGCGAGCTGGAGCATCAGCCCCACAGCGTGCGCTGGCGCGTTGTCTCCACCCGGCAGGTGTGAGCGCCAGGTGTCTGGCTCCTTTCGCCTATGAACTCCACCTGTGTAGAGCCAAACAAACCACTGAGGTCACCAGCTCAGACTACCCTGTACAAACTAGGCCACAAGCACGTAGTTGCTTATTCCAACGTGTTTATAGAACACCGATTAGGCTAAGATTTCCACCTTCACAGTTCTTAGAGTCATACGGCCCAACCATTTCTTTGTTTTAAAAAATGAGGGAGCCAGAAGAGTCTGGGATCCTATCTGGACTCCATCGCTGGGCTCCTGCAGCAAGCAGCCTTCATTTTAAACTCAAAACATTCTTTAACGTGTCCCACTGAATTCCCGGACAAACGCAGTAAGCCTAGTATGGGCATGATGGCGCAGGCAAGTAAATCCTAGCATTCTGAAGGCAGAGGCTGGAAAATCACTCAAGCCCAGAGCTACAAAGCACCAATTTCCCCACTCCTAGCATTTGAATTTGTGCTTCAAATATAGAATGTGTTTCCAGGGAGCATTTAGCATTAGAAGAAGGCCTAGAAACCTTAGCCCTGCACCTCCAGAGCAGCAGCAGTGAGCTCTTGCAGCTGAGGATTATGCTGGAGACAGGCTGTGTATATCTTGTCCGAGCACTAACCAACTGCTGTAGTCTTGCTTCAGGGGCTTAGCCAGCAGTTGGGTGAGCAGGCAAGTAGGATCCAGAACCATGGTTGAACTGTCATAGGCTTGCTTACTCATCCCTGCCCCAGGAATGATGGCAGTGCTACCCTCTGCCTCATCTGTTCAGGACTTTTGAGAGGCAAGGGTCTGAAGGACATCGGGAAACAGCACAGTCAGATGAGGGCACCTGGGAGCCCTCCTGAACATGCCCAGGTGTCTGAGTGCCAAATGAGAGCCAACTACCAGGAGAGCTGGGACCCACCAGGCTGTCTAGGCGGCATCCAGCATCGTGTGGCCGAGGTCCAGCCACCCTCAAGACTCTGACACTGTCACCTCTAACTCCTGGTCTTCAGCATGTGCTTCTGAAGGGCCCCTAAAGTGCCAGCTCAGCTGGAAAGTCTTACTTTCCAGAAACTGAAGGAACTGCCACTTGGCAAAATAGAAAGGTCCTTCCCAAAGGAGTCTGGGGAAAAGGGCACAGGATCAACCAAGAAAAGGCCCAGACTTAAAAGGAAGGACAACCAGACGCACCTGTCTAGCGTGTCTAGCGTGTCTTTTGGCACAGACAACTCTAAGGTGACATCCTGGGGTGTTTTCATTGTTAGACGAGGAACATGAGGCTCAAGAGAGCTGAAGGATTCCCAGAGTCCCCCAGGCAGGGGCTGCCTGGGCTTGTGCTACAATCCCCACAGGCATTTCTGCAGCTCTGTCATGGTGGGTCAACCACACTGTCAACCCCAGACCAGAGGGAAGCGATCCATTCCCAGTTTGCATTTCCCTCAGTAGTAAAAGTAGTAACGGACGTGATGGCCTCCTGAGGGAAAGGCAGGGAAGACTCCCAGCACTTGGGAGGCAGAGCCAGGTGGATCTCTGTGAGTTCGAGGCCAGCCTGGTCTCCAAAGCGAGTTCCAGGAAAGGCGCAAAGCTACACAGAGAAACCCTGTCTCGAAAAAACAAAAACAAAAACAAAAAAAAAAAAAAAAAAAACCACCTGGCACTCTGCTTTCAGAACAGCAGCCAAGCCGTCCCAACCAAATCAGGTCTAACTAAGCAGGTCCTCCCACCCTGTCAGCACCACATGGAGGAGGTAGCAGAGTTCTTGCCCCTCAGCAGCGTGGGATCTCCTAGAAAAGTCTCAAAGTTACAAAGTAAAGCAAAATAATAATAAAAATTCTTTTAAAATGCAAATTGCCGGTGCCTTCCCTTAGCCATCTGTGAACTGCTTTTTTCTCTGACTGCAGATTTTTATCCATTCAAACCTTTCCCCCCTGAGGCCTCTCTTGTCCCATTCTGGAAGAGCCAAAAATCTTTGTTCCTACTGACTACAGTACCAGCCAAAGACCCCACCTTAAATCTTAAGGAATCTTTCACCAGTCAGGAATGTCCTAAAGAGAGGGTTAGGAGATAGAGGCACCCAGTCACACACCTACGCAGTCACCAAAAGGGTGACTTCTTCCCATGGAAGTGGAATGGAAAACAAAACCAACAAGACTCTCCAAAGCTCCAGAGCGAGGGACCAGTGTCAGGCCAGGCACAAGGAAAGGCCCTGAGAGAGCACGGATCCTGCACGGTACCCAGGAGAGCCAGAGGGTACCACGGCAGGCTCCTCTGGTCAGGTTCCTCTTCAGGCCTGGGACCACATAGGCCTGGGCTCTCCTGGTGGCCAGAAGGCATGAGGAAATGCAGGACAGTCTGGCCTCAGGAGTGGGTCTGCATGTGGACAGTAAGGTGGTGGTTCCTGTTGAAGGCCCGGCCACACTTGGGGCACTGATAGGGGCGCTCACCAGTGTGGATGCGCTGGTGACGAAAGAGGTCCGAGGGCCGGCGGAAGGCCTTGCCACAGTAGGGACAGGCAGGCCAGCTTTGCCTGCTGCCTGTGTGCTGACGCTGGTGCAGTATCAAGGTCTTCCGTTGTTGGAAGGAGTGCAGACATTCACTGCAGTGGTAAACCTTAGCTGTTGACCTCTGTCCCATGAAAGCATTGTTTGCCAGGGAACGGTGGCTCATGGGCTCCTCAGGCAGCCAGCCGATGACAGGCCCGGGTACCACCACCTCCCCTGGCTCCAGTGTGGAGTGGCTTGACCCAAGAGGCAAGTCACTCCAAGCCTCCCTGTGTTCCTCCTCTTCAACATGGGTCCGCTGATGGATTGTCAGATTGACCTTCAAGCGGAAGCTCTGCCCACAGTCAGGACATGGGAATGCCCGCTCCCGTTGTCGAGGAAGGATACGGGGTGGCTCTCTCGTAGCCTCTGCAGCCCGGGGTTCCCTACTCCATCCCCTAGGCACTTCCTGGGCATGATGCCGTCTAGGGCCTCTAGTCTTGTTCCTGGGCCTTCTGTGGACTCTATACATGGACGGGCTCGGGGACTCCAGAAGGTGCTGCTCAGGTTCATCCGCAGACTGGGCTTCTGTCTTGATGGTCACGGCACCACCACCTGGTAAAGGAATCATCACTGGTTCCAAGAGGACCCACAGCCCCCTCGCCATTTGATCCGGGTTTTGTGCCAGGCCCAGGCCTCTCCTCCCTTCCCAGTTCTGTGAGTGCCAGCAGAGAAGATCAGGGTCCTACTCACAGACACCATGGGGCAGGCACTGCCTCGTGGATTATTCCACATGGTTTGCTGCCTTATGCTCCTTCCTAGAAGACGAGCTAAGAACAGCAGAGAAGGGAGAAAGTTGCAGAGCCCAAGAGGACTAGGGACTCTGTGGAGTTAAGGATTGGACTCTGGGGGACAGACGGGCGAGACCGTAGTGGGGAGACACTCCAGCCATGGCAATGGTGCTCCCGAGACCCTAAGTGCTGTGAGGATAATAGTTATAATCCGAGAAGGACAAGGGGCCCATGGGCCCCGGCTGCGTCCAGACCATGACTGGGAGGCCTTGTGGGTCACCTGTGGCTGTAATCCCAGCACGCAGGAGGCTGAGATGGGAGAACTGCCACAAATTCACAAATTTAAGACAAGACTTGCTACACAGTGATTTTAAGTCAGCAAGCTATATACACCCCATCTCAAAAAAAAAAAAAAAAAAAGCCTCTGTGGCCTAGGGGAGGGGTGATGCAAGGGCGGAGCTGAGATGGCACAGCTGCAGGGACAGAGCCATGAAAGCACAGGCTGAAGGGAGGACAGTTGTCCCCAGGTGCAGAGAATAGAGGGTCTTGTCATTGAGCCCTACCAGAAAAACATGGACTTCAGGTGAAGAACCTACACTTAAACTATTGGTCAACACGCAAAGTGCGAGACGCCACAGGCTATGAATGCAGGTGGGCCACCTCACAGGCTGCTGTGGGACTGGAGCAGACCACAGGAGCAGCCTTTCTATCCCTAGCAGACCATAGCCTGAGGCATGCAGCATGTCCTCAAGCAGCCTTTCCATTAAGGCCAGCTAACCACAGGCCGAGTGCTACTCCCCAGTGGCCCTCTGAGCTTCTGTGAGGCTCTGCCACGGCCCCAAGTGTCTTCTTCTTTCACTCACCTGGCCCCTCAGAAGGAAGGCTATCTGCAGGAGGGGAGGGTGGCAATTCTCCCTCTGTAAATTCTCCCTCCTGTTTAATCGATAAAGTGCTGGTGTTTGCTGGAATTCCTGCAAGAGGGGGAATCGGATGAGGGCCATTCCCGACACAAGTATCACAGGAGATATGACCATTTCCCCAGCAGGCCCTGGACATGCTTAAGGGCCTGCCAGGAAGAGGAGATCTTCAGGCTTCCATCTGGAGGGCTTCTGAGGTAGGAACAGAGCTATGAAGGCCACATCCCCAATCCCTTGTAGGCCCAGGCTCACAACCTGTGCCTCCCCAGGTCACCTTCATCAGCCTCAATCACAGAAGGTTTGGAAGGCCCCAGGACAGAGTCCAGGTCTGCGAAGAGCAGGGACACTACCTCCTACCCAAGGTCCCACCTCACAAATTCCATGCATACAGTGTGGGCTTACAGACTGGCTGGGAGGAACACAGGGTAGGGAGAGTCACGTGCGATGGGGAAATGCAGAGAAACCACTAGAAGGAAGGCGACAGCACTGGGAGTGAGGCCAGCGTCCAGAAAGAACAGGGGAAGAGAAGGAGGCGGAGCTGAGTGCACGAGGCTCAGTGCCCTGAGTCAGTCTCAGAAAAGGACCAGCAGGAACTGCCTATAGACAGAAGCAGACACAGAGTCCTGAACGAGTGGGAAGTCAGAGTTCTCAACAGGTTTTCAGAAGACTGAGAAACTGCAGCATGCCAACCCAGCACCACACTGGAGGTGTGTGGACACAGACCGCCATGTTGACATGACCACTGTAAAAGCTCCAGCAGGCCCCATCCACACTCCTCCCATTACTCCAGCCAGACAGGTATGTCCAGGTGCTATTCAGACACCTGGGTACTGAAGAGACTAAACCTGCCTCTCCAAGGCCCATCTTAAAGGCCCAGCTCCCAAGAGCCTACGCAACACAGTTCAATATTTGGCTTGTTTCCTGTGCTGCGGACACCAGTGGTGCTGCCCAGCTGTCCTCACTCACCAGTGTCTGGCTCAGGTGGAGTAGCTCTCGCTTCCTCTTGCTGCCGCTGCTGCTGCTCAGGTGCTTGCCTTTCTTTTGGCTTCTCCTGGGCAGGGCTGGCTGGACTTGGGGCATGCTCTGGACTCAGAGGGATTCCTAGAAACACAAACCAACATCACTGAGAACAATACCAAGGTCTCCTAGGCAGGTGGCCAGTGACTCTGGGGCCACATAAATGTAGAGTCTTGGGATCCTGGGCTTTCAAACCGAAGACAGGATGTGAAGATACAGTGGCCATGCTCATTACCCCCAAAGCTTGATTCTTACGTAATGCCTCTTTTTTGTTGCTGTTTTTGAGAAAGGGCTTTTCTACATAGCCCTGGCTGTCCTGGGACTAACTATGTAGACCAGGCTGACCTCGAACTGCTTCTGCCTCTCTCTGCTGGGATTAAAGGTGTGTGCCACCATGATAAGCTGTGTCTAAAGCCTCTTTGTCCACAAGGACTCTGCACAACATGTAATTCAACTGAGAGTGTGAGACAGGACATGACAGCTGGATCAAGAGCCTGGCTGTTCACTCGCATGGTGGCTGACAACAGGCTGTAACTTCAGTACCCTGGGTCAAATGTCCTCTTCTGGACTGTGGGACAGCATGTACAGGGTGTGCATACATACAGGCAGGCAAAACATCTATACACAAAAGTAAAATAAATATACATAAACATAAAAAAAAAAGAACCTGGCTATTAAAGGAAAGGAGGAAAAAGGATGTCCACCAGACATCAGGGTGGCTGCTGCCTTCCTGCTTCAAACTATCTTCTGTAATGCCAGGGAGCCCCTCGGCAGAGCAGAAAAGACACACTGAAGATGTCATCTTTGGAGCTCTGATTTTCTTCAATACTCTTTTTAAAAAGATTCATTTGTTTGTTTATTTAGTGCGTTGATGTTTGCCTGCATATATGTCTGTGTCAGGATGCCAGGTGCCCTGGAACTGGAGTTACAGACGGTTGTGAGCTGCCATGTCAGTGCTGAGAACTGAACCAGGTCCTCGGGAAGAGCAGCCTGTGCTCTTAACCGCTGAGCCATCCCTCCGGCCCCCAAATACTCTTTTCAGACAACTCCACTTCCACACCTACCCTCTTCCTATCCTCGGATCTATGCATGGTGTTGCTGTGGCCTGCCTCCCAGAATAGCTCCTATAACCTGGTTGTGGCTGTGGTTTTTGAATGGAGGCCCCCCAAATGTGATTAAACAGCCTCTCCCACACAAAACAGGGCTGGGGGGAGGGCATTTTGGTTTTCTTTCCTTTTGCTTTTGTTTTCTTTTGTTTTGTTTTGAAGACAGGGTCTCACTGTATAGCTCTGGCTGGCCTGGAACTCAACATGTAGACTGGTCTGGCTTTGAACGCATAGAGCTCTATCTCCCTCTGCCTCCTGACTGCTGGGTCACACCATGCCCAGCCTTATTTCCTTCTTTTAAAAAAAGTACTAGAGAGAGGTATATATGAAAGAGAGAGAAACAGAGACAGACAGACAGACAGACAGACAGATGGGGTATGTAGGTCAGAAAGCAACCTTCAGAAGTTGGTTTTCTTCCTCTGTGGGTTCTGGGGATAAAACTTATATCATCAGGTTCATACACGGTGAATACCTCACCACTGTGGTGAGGACCTCTCACCACTGTTGAGCTATCTCAACTGCCCTTCTGTGGTGGTTTTTTGAGATGGGGTCTCACACGTATTCCAGGGTGGCCTTGAACTCCCTATGTGGCTGAGGATGACATTAAACTTCTGACCCTCCAGCATCTATATGCATAGTGGTGGGATTAGAGGCATGCACCACCATACCCAGTTTTTCTGGTGCTAGGGATCAAACCGGGGCCTCATGTATGCTAGGTAAAACACTCTACCGAGTGAGATACTTCCTTCATACTTCCTCTCTCCTGTCTTTCAGGACTAAAAAACCACAACAAAAACCCAAACGATTAAGAAACAGACTATGAACAAAAGGTTGATGGTTTAGAGAGCTGATGGTCTGCTGATGAAATCAGCCAAAGGTTCCCACCATGGACCCACGTGTGCTGAGGACAGCTGGGATGAACAGCATTTGGATGAGAAATCCACAATCACAGAAAGGGGAGGCTCTATCTCTACATGTGTTTGAACTTACCAGTGTGGTTTTTCATAAACACGGGGTTCAGGGAACAGGACATGTGAGACACTCAAAAGCAACGTAAACAGGCCTCTCCCCTGCCTCGGCTGGCATTTCTCTTCCACAGGAACCACTAACACCAGTTGTAGTGCTATGAGAAGGGGATCTGACATGCTGCTACTGACTCTTTCACATACAAGGCGCAGTGCTGGACACTGGGGGGCCACACTGTTCGCAGACAGTGTACACACAACACTCAGTAGGTCCCAAAATTGTTACCTCCATAATAAACCCAAACACAGCTGCTTTAGCTAGGTGTGGTGCTCATACCTACAATCCCAGCACTCAGGAGGCTGAGGCAGGAGGATGGCTATGAGTTAAAGGCCAGCCTGGGCTACATATTAAGTGACAGGCCAGCCTGGGCTATGATGTGAGACCCTGTCTTAAGCAAACAAGGCCAGCAAGATGGCTCAGGAGGGATGTGCCTTTGCTGCCAAACCTGACAACCTGGGTTCTGTCCCTTGAACTCACATGCGTCAGGAGAGAACTGCCTCCAAGTATTTTCCTGACCTACATACGTACACACACACATAAATGAATAAATACAATGGTTTTTGTTTGTTTGTTTGTTTGTTTTTTAAGCAAACAACAGCAACAAGAAGCCAGTGTGGTGTCACATGCCTGTAACGCCAGCTCTTGGAAAGCTGAGGCAGGAGGACCACCAACGTGGCTACAAAATGAGTTCCAAGCAAGCCTGGGATACAAAATGAGACCCTGCTTCAAAAAACAACTCAAAATGTCTATAAGGGCCAGTGAGATGGTTCAGCAGGTAAGGTAGAGACAGGCAGATCTCTGTGAGTTCAAGGCTAGCCTGGTCTACATAATGAGTTCCAGGACAGCCAGGACTACATAGTAGCAAGACCCTGACTTAAAAAACAAAAACAAGTAAATAAACATTTTGTGCCTGTGTATAAGTGTTTTGCCTTCATATGTATGTATACTATATGCATGCCTCCTGCCCAGAAGAGAGCACCAGATTTCCTAAAACTGGAGTTATAGACAACTATAAGCTGCCATGTGGTTGCTAGGAACTGAACCCAGGTCCTCTGCAAGAGTAGTGAGTGCTCCTAACCACTGAGCCTCTCCAGCTCTCAGGAGTGAGTAACACTTCCCTTTGGTATCGGGGGCTAAGGGGGTCCAGCCCCTCGATAGTCCCCTCCCAGGGTCTAGGAAGAATCTACAACCAGCTGATAATTTAATCTTGATGAAAAGAAATGAGTCTATATACACAAAACTCCTTAGTCCACACACTTTATTCTTCTGTCAGTTCTCTCTCTGCACAGCTTCTATTCTGCTCTTATTTTTGTTCCTTTGTCTGATTTCTCTCTACACTTGTCTGTTGTCCCCTCTAAGTTCTATCTTAATTCCTTCATCTTAGTTCTGCCCCATCTAGGTTCTCATCTATCCAGTTCTTTCCCATATCAGCTCCTCTCCCATCTTGTTCTTCCTCAACTTGTTCTTCCCCATCTAGCTCTTCCTCATCTTCCATCTTGTTCCTCTGGTACTCTCTTCTAGTCCTTCAGTCTAGTTCTTCCCATCTAGTCCGTTCCTCTCCAGTTCTTACCCATCTAGTTCTTCTGTTCTCTTGTCTCTTCTCTATCTCGTCTTCAAGTTCTCTCTTCAAAAACCCTCCTCTCTCCCCTTCTACCTCTCAGTTCTCCCTAAGTCTCTCAGAAATCCAGTTATAAAGCCAAGCAATAGCAATCCTCTCACAGAGCAAGGTCACCAGGCTTGAATTCTTATGGGGTCATAAAGGCAGGTAAGAACTTTCCTCAGGCAGTGACCACCAGGCTTTCTTTTACAACCCAAAAGGGGAGTGGTAAAGGAGGAGGCCAACAGAGAGCTAATGATGAGTTAGTATATCAAAAAGGGAATTTATGTATTCAGCCTACATTCCTAGAAGTAGCTAGGTAAGAAATTAGGAGTCTATCAGTAAGGCTGTAAGGAAGGAGGGTCTCACCCTAAATTGCACAAGAAATAAAGCTATCCTTCTGACCTAAGAGACAGGTGTTGTTTCATTTGGCCTTGGATGCTTAAGTCTGTTCTTAGAGAGTAGAGAGGTATCTCTGATAAAGTACCTTCATCCCTCCAGGGATGGAGCTGGCGGGATGCTGCCAATGACAATAATTACAGGGAGGCTTGAACTGGGGTTCTGGCTGTGCACAGCTGTCAGCGCAGGGTATCTAAACATTCCTTTAGTGGAGGGGAAATGGTGCCCAGTAAATGATGGAAAAGCCACAACAGCACAAGAAACTCATAGAAGGAAACAGCTGATAATCAAAAGCCAAATATCACCAAGGCTCCTCGAGCCTCAGCTCCACCTCTGGAAGGTCTTTGGCTTCTTCCAGGTATTAGCTTTGTCATAATCAGCTGAAATCCTACTTTATACATTTTTTGCGGCTTGTAGCACACTGGCTATGGAGGAACAACCCCAGCCTTGTCCCCAAAGGGCCATCACAGAAAGAAGTCCAACAGCAGCAGTGGTCTCCTGATAACGGCCGAACTGAGCAACAGTGACGCCAGGTGGATGTGGGCACCACTGAGGCTGGCACAGTGCGGTGGTGGTGCCACCATGCTTTACCATGACTGACCATCAGCCCACTTAGGAGATGCCTATTCTATCCTTCATCTGTATTTGCCATCCCTTTTGTGCTGGTGCCTCCTATACAGAGGCAGAATCCTTAGAGCTCTAAGAAGTCTTCTGCTTACTCCTGCTCAGAGCAGCCTTGGACAAGAGCAGGGCATTCTGGGTGAAGGGCCTGTGCTCCCTTTCCAGCTCCAAGACGGTCCAGTATATCCAGGAAGGGAATGTGTAGCTCACTGTGCCCCAGCAGCTCCCAACGTGTGCCAATACTTACCAGCGTTCGGTTTCCTGGGGCATGCTGCCTCCTCCTCACTCCCCGTCTGACCGCAAGGGTCTGCAGGACAGGGCTCTTCTCCCCTCTCTATCCGGATGAGGATGTCTGGTTTGGAGATGGCATAATCTGCATACAGAATGGGGGGGCATGGAGAAAGGTCTGGGGCCGACTGCCTATGGCAAAGGCAAAGACTGCAGGAAGCTACCCTCAGACAGAAGCCCAGGGATCCTCTGCAGCCTTACCCAGGGAGACCAGCGACTCGTAGTTGTTTCTCATCACGTGCTTGTAGAGTTCCTTCTGCCAGTCCTCCAGCATGGCCCACTCCAGTTCAGAGAAATACACAGCCACGTCATCAAAGGTCATAGGCACCTGAAACCACAGTGTCACACTCGCTCACCCACACATTTACAGGCATGGGTCCTCAGGCTCCCCACCTCAGGCTGTCCAAAGGCTACCTTGGGGACCTCGCCCTTGCTGCCAGGGGGAAGCCGCAAGACCAAGAAGTTCCGGTTGTGCAGCAGGTTCTCCAGGTTCTCCAGCCGCCGCTGCAGCAGCCCGTACTCCTGCGGCAGGGTCCCCAGCACGGCCCACTTGCCCTCCAGCTGGTTGCTGAACTCCACAGCTGTCTTCTCACAGTCAGCCAGCTTCTTCTCGGCTGTCCCTAAGCGTCCTTCCAGAGTCAGCAAACGGGCCAGGCAAGAATCCACTTTCTTCTCCAAGGCCTGAATGGCTGCCACCACAGTCCACAGTGTGATCTCTGTGGAGTAGAGGTACGAGCTCTTCTCTGCATCTGGCTGGGGTGAAGAAGAAGGGGCGGGAGGCCTCTTATTACACATCTGCTTGTCCCTCTGAGAAATCTGCTCAAGGGACAAGAGAATCACATAATCAAAATAGCCACATTGTAAACTAGGCATGGTAGCACATATCTATAATCCCAGCATTTACAAACTGAGGCAAGGAGACCGCCTCAAGTTCAACGGCAGCCTGAACAGGACAGTTCCAGGCTAGCCTAGACTAAAGAGTTGAGACCAGCCAGGTATAGTGGCACATGTCTTTAATCCCAGCCCTTGGGAGCCACAGGCAGGTGGATCTCTGTGAGCTTAAGGCCAGCCTGGTATGGTTGGTCTACATGGCAAGTTCCAGACCAGCCAGGACTGCATAGTATAACACTGTCTTTATTAAAAAAAAAAAAAAAAAAAAGCATTTCTTCCCATGTACCTGCAGGTCTACATTTAAAGATTCACCCAACCTGAGATAAAAATATTTAGAAAGAAAAAAAAAATTGTATCTGTTCTGAACATGTACACACTTTTCTTATCATTATTTCCTCCACTATGCAACTTTTAGCCTTTCCATTGCATTGGAAATCTAGAGATGATTTACGGTATTTTGGAATATATGAGTGGGTTTTATGTAAAGGACTTGAGCATCCCTTGTGCACTGGGGGAGAGCAGTAGTTATTACAATAATGTGGTAGGTAGTGTTGAGATCTATCCTGTTGGTAAGTTTTTTGGGATATGAGGTGCTACAAGACAGCTGAGGGATAGGAGCAGGTGGAATGATCAGGCAGACGTCATCTGGGCAGGTACAGAAAGGCCTTCCAGCCCCACTCCCATAAAGCCCATTTTCTCTTCCTCGAACCCAGAAGGACACACAGAAAACTGAAGGGAAGGAGAGGTTCCCTTCAAAAACTTTCCAGAAAACTAAGGTTTCAGAAACTTGTCTAAGACATATTGGTAATAACAGATACCACTTACCGGGTGATTTTTACAGGCAAAAGTTCTTTTAGCATGTCCTCTGAATTGGCCATACTGAACATGACCAAGCTACCCTTTTAAAACTGCTAAATTTGCAGTGGTCTCTCAACCTTCCTAATGCTTCGACCCTTTAATACAGTTCCTATGCTGTGGTGACCCGCAACCATAAAAATTATTTCGTTGCTACTTTGTAACTGTAATTTTGTTACTGCCATGAAGTGTAAATATTTGATACGTGACCCACAAGTTGAGAACCACTGAAGTAATCTTTAAAGAAACAAACGAAAAAGGCCACAAAATTCGGAAACCTGTTGCAAACAGGGTTCAAATTGTTTCCTACTTAAAAGAAGAGTTGCTAGGTATTTTAATGGTGGTCACATTCCAAGGTGTTGGCCTGAGGCCTAAACTCAACATCTACCTGCCCCTCGGCATTTTCAGCCCCTGGGCCTTCTCTGACTGCTCGGCCGAAGGCCTCAGAGGAAACAATGGACAGGGGCTCTCAGCTGTGTTATCTGCGGGGACCTTCGAGGCCCTTCGGAGGAATCCGAGCGCCCGGCCCAGCGGGGACACGGGGGTAGGTTGGGGGAGCAGGTCACCGGTCTTGGGGCCCAGCCCACCGGGCCTGGTGTTTGGGCCTCCCGCCGCTGGGTGCAGGCCAGTGGCCTCTGCGGCCTCCAGGCCGGTGGCTCCATGACCCCGGCGGGCTGGGTGGGGGCCAGGGTAGGGAGGTGGCGCTCCGGGACCGGTGTGCCCCAGACCCTCGCAGGCGGCGGCCACGGGCCGGGGCGCTTACCCGGGCGAGCGCCGCTTCGGCCATGGCTACCGTGCCGTCGCTGGGGTGCGATCCTCCGCCGACAGGTCGGGCCAGGCGCGGGCTGTGGTTCTCCGCCGACAGGCTGCGCGTCGGTGACGAGCAGGAGGCGCCCAGCGTCGGAACTGCTGCCCGGCGGCCGCAAACTCCGCACTGTCCCGTGCCACGTGCCCCGCGGGCCCTTTAACAGAGCCGCCGGGAAGGCCGCGGCCCGGCGCGCACAGCGCCCCCTGCAGTCCGAAGGACCGCACCCCGGGGGCGCTCGGGGCGGGCCCTGAGCGCGCTCCACCCCGCGGCCGCTAGCCTGCGATGCCCACCCTGCTGCCACTGGTGCCCTGCTCGCCCGGCAGCTGGCCTCAAGCAAACCCACGCGCGGGTGAATTCAGGGAACGAAGCCGGTGAGGGAAACGCTCAGGAAGTTTCCAGACTACCCTCATCCCAAGGGTTTTCAGATTCCAATTTCTAGGGCCTGTAACCAAGAGAAGGTAACCTAGGGGGAAACATAAAGGTTTCTAGACCCTCTCTTTGCTTTTTCAGAACAAATGGGAAGCCCTAAGGGGGAAAGTGCATTTAAAACAAAATGCAAGCCCAGGACTCGGGGGGTACCTCAGTGGTAGAGCGCTTGCCTGGCTTGCGCCAGAACTCGAGGGAGGTGTTTCTGGGGTATCCTCCTCTCAGGCACCCACCTTCGAGGCTCTTAGCCTCGGGGATTGATGAGTCTCATCTGCATCCTGAGCAGATCCCTCTCTTCCAGCCCTCTCTGCCACACCCAGTCTGGACTGGCATGTGACATCAGCAGAGCATCTTGAAAGCCTTGGTTCCAGGCGGATCATCCTGTACCATTCAAATGATACAGTGCAGGACCGCAGCTACCGTGTTCATTTGTAAGGCTCTCTAACCAGTTCGTGTTCTGAATTATCCTGAATAAACTATTCCACTTAAGACCAATTGCCTTCTGAAACCAGAAAGCCTTACTCAGGAAAGCCAGAATTAACCTTGGAATCGAAAGTAAAACCTGCTTTTCTCATTTCCTGCATTTTCCACTCATGCTATGGTCTTTATCCAATAAGCCAATAAACTTCTGGTTGGCAAGTGGGTTTTTATATTTTTGAGTTTGTTTTGGTGTTTAAAATATTTTAAAAATAATTCTAGGGCTGGAGAGATGGCTCAGTGGTTAAGAGCACTGGCTGCTCGTCCAGAGGACCGGGGGTTCAATTCCCAGCACCCACATGGCAGCTCACAACTGTCTGTAACTCTAGTTCCAGGGGACCTGACACCTCCACACTAATGTACATAAAATGAATTTAAATAAATTATTTAAAAAATAATAATTCTAAAAGAGAATTAGTTCTGAGGCTGGCAAGAAGGCTCACTATGTAAAGGCCTTTGCTGCCCGAGATGATGCAAACCTAATGATCTGAGTTCAACCTCCAGGGCTCACATAAAAGTAGAAGGGGAGAGCTGACCTACACACACATACACACACACACACAGTAAGTAAAACTTAAAAAAAAATAGTTGCATGCTGGGCATGTTGCTGTACACCTTTAATCCCAGTACTTGGGAGGCAGAGGCAGGCAGATTTCTGAGTTTGAGGGCAGCCTGGTCTACAGAGAGTTCCAGGATAGCCAGGGCTACAGGGAAACCCCGTCTTGAGAAACCAAAACAAGCAAACAAAAAACAATTTCATATTCATCTGCGTGTGTGGCACTTTCCTGTAATCTCAGCACTTGGGAATCTGGGACAGGGAAAGATCTAGGTCTGCTTGGATTACACAGTGAAACCCTGTCTCAAAAAACTTTCTTTTTGCACATGAAAGCTAACAGTCATTTGGTAACTCGAGAAATCCATGAATTCTGCTTAAAGGGCAAAGGAATTTACAGGGGAGAAAACTCACTGTATAGAACAGAATTGTCGCAGGTTCTGGAATGCTGGGCACAGTCTCACCTGGTTTGGGCTGTCAGTCAGTCCCTCATCCAAACCCTTGAGGGAGAGAAGAGATCTGCACAGTGCATTTCAGGTCTTAAGGGTAGCCAAAAGGCCACGACCCAGAGGCATGTACTTCAAGGTCACAGGCAGGCAGAGCCGTTACCTGCTTTGTCTCTAGGGCTGTGCTTCAGGGTCACTGAACTACAATCTGGGAGTGCACACTATAATACTGTGTTAGTCTAGGGAAGTCCGTATAAAGACCCAGTATAAGAAACTAGATTTAATAGAAAACAAACTACGGCCCATGTGTCTGTTCACTGATGTATCCCAAATGTTAAAACTGCCTACATAACAAGTACCCATCATTTATTTGCTCTCTAAAGAAATGGATGAGAAAATGATGGCTGAGTAAAGAAGGTGTCTGCTGCTGAGCCTGCCACCTGGAGTCTGATCAACATTCCCACACGGTGGAAGGAGAGAACTCTAGGTTGTCTTCTGATCTCCACTGTGTGCCATGGCTATGTGTCCTCATGTAGGCAGATTTTTCTGTCCCACCAATCTGCTCCCAAATCATGACACAGACACATTATAAAAGCTCAGCTAATAGCTTAGGCTTGTTTCTAACCAGTTCTTATAACTTAAATTAACCCATTTCTTTTACTCTACGTCCTTTTATGTGGCTCAGTTACTTTTACTTTGTAATGCCCATGTTGTTTCCTCTGCGTCTGGCTGGCGACTCCACCTTCTTCCCAGTGTTTTCTCTGCCCCCCCCTCCAAATCCTACCTGGCTATTGGCTGTTTAACTTTTTTTTTTTTTTTTTTTTTTTTTTCCGAGACAGGGTTTCTTTGTAGTTTTGCGCCTTTCCTGGAACTCACTTTGGAGACCAGGCTGGCCTCGAACTCACAGAGATCCGCCTGCCTCTGCCTCCCGAGTGCTGGGATTAAAGGCGTGCGCCACCACCGCCCGGCTTGGCTGTTTAACTTTTTAATCAAACCAACCCCAGTGACATGTTTTCACAGTGTAAAGGAATATTCCCCAACATCCTCACACATACAGTAAGTGTAGAGGAGATCAAGACAGCTCTTTCAAAAAGGAGCTTGGACACCAAAATACCAAAAAACAACAAAAACAAAACACAAAAAAAACCAAAAGAGGCTTCCTCATGACAGGAAGAATAATGTGACTGCAATACCACTGAAGAGACTTGGTAAGGTAGGCTGCAGAAGCCTTCAACACTAAAGAGTTTGCTTTTGATTAGCAGCTGGGAATGCCACGGCAAGACCCTGAAGAAAGCCCATGTCCAACAGCTCCAGAACACCATGTGGTGATGAGAGTAGCCTGGCTGACTAGAGAGTCAAGTTAGCGACCCTTAGAACCTAAACTGTGTGAACAGGAAGGAGAGAGAAGCCATGCCAGCTTAGTTGGGTATGTGATGTTGTTGCCCTGTGTGTGACATCCAACTTAACCAGTCCGCTTCCCACCTTCTTCTCCACACCTCCCAGAGCAGCCTTTCAATGTGTGACAGTTGAAACAGGCAAGTAATTTGTGTTATTTAAAACAGTGCCTACAGAGCCTGGCATGCTGGCTCACACCTGAAATACCAACATTTAGGAGACTGGAGGTGGGGGGATTGCTGTGTATTGGAGCCTAGGCTACATCACAAGTTCCAGAACAGCTGGGTTAGAGTGCGCTATTAAAAAAAAAAAAAATGGCCAACACCAACTGACAACCTGAATCCAAATTTGACCCTTGGGGTAGGAGGGACCCAACTCCTACATGTTGTCCTCTGACCTCCACACATACACCATGGCATGCATGCACCCATACACGTACAAATGTTAAAAAACTAAAACTAAACAAAAAACAGTGCCTACTGAGGGTCACATAATGATGTTAAGATGTTGAATGTGCCGAACATGGTAGCACACACCTGTAGTCCCAGCACTCGGGAGGCAGCGGCAGGTGGACCTCTGAATTCAATGCCAGCCTAGTCTACAGAGTTCCAAGAAAGCCAGGGCTACACAGAAACCCTGTCTCCAAAAACAAAAACAAGTATGTTCTGTGTACACATGGACCCATGAGATTTCCCCAATGCCCAGCTTCAGTCTTTGGATAGACACCTACCTGTGTTCCACCACTCAGTTTTGATTCAGACACCTCCATGTCCTCTTCCTGTTCTCGTGTTGAATAAAACTATATGCCATAAAACCCAATTTACTCATTTTGTTTTGAATGAAGATTCAGTTTCTGTCTTTTAGATATAGGACTCCAAGGAAGGATATTGTCTAGTACTAATATCATAAGTGATGTGTTAACTCTGGAATAAGAATTGCTGTTCAGGTGGGGATGCAGGAATTTTAATTTTTGAATTAAATTATTATACATTAAGACAGTCTTGCTGCTGTAATGCAAAGATATGATGGACTGAGGTGCTATTGATTTTTCTCCAATGTGAGGGAGGTCCTTCTGTTAAATATAAAGTCCTACCCAAGTTCAAGTGGGAAGGAAGGAAGCCTTTGCCTCTGATAGCCCCTCCCATCTTCAGAAACTATCTGCCTTTTAGAACAGGTTCCTTCCTGTGTTGGACACTACAGTATCTGTCCCTCGGTGAGCAGGGATCTCTGAAGCCTTCTTTGTGACCTGGGCCAGGCAGGGGTGGGGCATGCCTTTAATCCCAGCACTCTGGAGGCACAGGCAGGAGGATCTCTGTGAGTTCCAGGACAGCCTGTCTATAGCGTGAAGTCCAGGACAGCCAAAGCTATTCCACAGTGAAACCCTGTTCTGAAAAACCAAAAAAAGAAAACAATCCTTTTCTTTTTCTAGTGGATTTTTCACAAGTTTTGTAATCTTGTAACTGTCCAAGCTCTACTTCCTAAACTTTCAGAACTTTAATGAAAATTTTAAACTGAAGGTGTTGTTTAGGGATTGTTTACAGGCGTTCTACCCAATGCACACCCAGCCATCGTGACAAAGCCTTAAGTGTTCTCTGAGAAAATGATGCTGATCACCACAGATACAGCATCTCTTGGGTTGTGAAGCCTGGCTCCCTGCTGTTCACTTCCTAGCTTTTCTTCAGTCTCTTCTCACCTCCTGCTGTCCTGTGCAGTGATCTGTGGGATAAAGTATGCTTTTGTCCCTACCCCCTACAACATATGCGTTTCAAGTTTCAATATTGCAGTGAAAGTGCTATATGCTGGCATTAAAAAAAGTTGCTCTGCATGGTGGTACTTGAGAATGGTGATGGGAAGATCAGGAGTTCAAGGCCAACTTGGGTCATATGAAACCCCACCTCAAAAAACCAAAAATAATAATTTTTTAAATGTAAATTCTGCCAGGCAGTGTTAGCACACACCTTTAATTCCAGCACTTGGGAGGCAGAAGCAGGCGCATCTCTGAGTTGGAGGCTAGCCTGGTCTACAGAGACTTGGGTACCAGGACAGCCAGGGCTACATTGTTTGGAAAAACAAAAACAAACAAACAAAAAAATGTTCCAACCCAGAGGGATGGAGTCTGCGCTTGTACTACCTTCAAGTTCCTAGCAGGTGCTGAGACTGTAGTTCTGGGAACAGGGATACAGAATCTAACCCTGACATTAAGGTATACAACTGGAGAAGCAACAGTACCCCTGGTCCAGTGTGTGAGCTCTGAGGCAAGGTGGTCATAGGTTCAGGCTAGGCTTCCTGGTGAGGGATCTCTCCCAACTTCATTCCAGGTGACAATTCTTGGTAAACAGAAAACCTCCCATGTGACTTTTTTTAAATACATGTAACAAGATTTATTCCAGACAACTGTAAATCATCCAAGGATACATTCACATATGACCAAAGAACCCACTCTCCTCCCTCCCCGAATGACAGTGGGGCAGGTACTCAACACTCCTGAGACAAGCATCTGTGCTTTTCTCCTTCATCCCAGGACAGACACTGGAAAGTCTAACTTGAACCACCTCAAGTGATATCTGGTGTAACAGGATCAAGCTCAGTCTTCCACCCCCACCCCACCCCCCACAGAGCTGCAGAAACACAGCAAAGCAAGGGGCAGGGATGAGGAGAGGATGTCCAGACACCAAACTCCCAGAACCGAACCCTCAGCTTCTTCAGAGA